GGGACAGTGCTGAGGGACAGAGAGGGACAGTGCTGAGGGACACTGCTGTGGGACAGAGAGGGACAGAGAGGGACAGAGAGGGACACTGCTGTGGGACAGAGAGGGACAGAGAGGGACAGAGAGGGACAGAGAGGGACAGAGAGGGACAGAGAGGACACTGCTGTGGGGACAGAGAGGGACAGAGAGGGACACTGCTGAGGGACAGAGAGGGACAGAGAGGGACACTGGCTATGGGGACAGCAGGGTCGAGCTGCCACCGCGGGGAGTGGCACTCGGTCCCTCTGCTCGCTGAGTTTACAAAGGAAGTGGCTGCAGTCGCTGTCAGTGTGTGCTTCCTTTTCCTGMGTGGCAGTAATTGTCTTGCAAGTGAGAAGAAAATCATTAGTGACTTTTTTTCCCATGTTTTGTTGTTTTGKTTTTTTTCTGGGTGTGGTTTTAACACCCTCCCCGAAGTGAAGCAATACCAATGACCCAGCCTGGCTGGGAAAAACAGCTTGGAAGTTGCAATTTTGCTCCAGGAGAAGCTGATGTTCCTAGTGGGGCAGAACTCACATTTATGGAACTGGAAAGTCTCCAAAGACAGAAAAAAAGCTAGCATAGATTTACCACTGGGTAGAGCAGTGTCCATCTCCTGTTTGCATGGCAAAAAAATGAGCCCCAGTGGTGCCAGGACTGGTGGCACGGCCCTGTGGCATCCCTAAATGCCTCTGTGATAGCAAATGCCTTGAGGGATCACTTCAGATGGGATTTTTGCCTCTGGACCAGGCCCTACAGCCCCTCCCAGAGCCAGCCCAGCTGGGCAGAGTTTGCATTTATGGCCACAGGGCAAAGAGTAATGCTGTGACTCCAGGGGAATTGGGCCTCACTGGTGTCTGCACATGGTGATTTCCTGAGGTGGAAAACCCTTGGCACCAATGGCTGAGCAATTGCTTCAGAGGTTCAGCTCCAGGCGTCCCCACTTCCCCTTTCAAAATTCCCCAGAGCAACAAAGTCCAGCGTACATTCCCTTTGTCCTGTAGAGCACTCTGAGCTCACCTCCCCTACAAACCTGCCACAGGACTGCAGATCATCTCCCAAACCCCAAAAAGGACTGTGAATCCCCAATCCAGCCTCACAGCACCCTGAGAATGCTGCACRTTCCACGTGTGCCACCACAGGATGGCCCTGAAGAGGATGGGGTTGGAAGCAGAGATATTCCAAAGGGATTTACCAGCCAGCTCCCCTGAAAAATGCTGACACTGGGGATTACCCTGATGGAAAACCCAAATGAGGTTTCCAAATTGCTCCTCCAGCTCTGGCAGCTCCTTTGTTCTTGTCAACATTAATGGTTCTCAGCAAACTGCTCAGGACCCCATAAATCACATTCCTTCACGTTGTGTGGATGTCCCCAGCTCCTCAGGACGAGGATTTTTGGGGAATGACCTGCAGGGCTGCAGCAGCTGCCAGGGGAGTGGAGCCCTTTGCTCTGCAGAGCCCCATGGGCAAAGGGTCAGCCCCAGGGAGGGGGTGGCTCCAGCAGCACTTCCACAGGCCAGGACTCTGATGCCTCCCCAAGTTTATGTGTGTCCTTATCCAACTGTAGCACCCTGGATGACAGCTGCTGGTTTTGTGATATCCACACGGACAATCCTTGTGCAGCCATGGCAGCACAGGACCCACACTCACAACCACCCAGGTGGAATTCAGGAATGCATCTCCACCCAGCCCATGTCCAGCCTTCCTCAAAGAGCTCACCAGGCAGTGCTGGTGCKCCAGCAGCACAAGATTTGGAAGGAGAAAGTGTGGGCTTTAGGAAAAATGCAACTGTTTGCTGCCTTTCATGGAGGACATCAATCTCCCCTAGGCCTGGCTCTGCATCAGGGCACTGCTGCCTGGGGTTCGTCCTGCTCTCAGCCTTGAGTTTAAACTGTCCATCCTTGCTGGAAATGAGGTTTATTCTCTCCCTCCTTGCAGCCTTTCCCAGGAGTGTCAGGGGTCTGGGTTTGGAGGGATCCCCTGGAGTTCCCTTTGCTGAGCATTAGCTCCTGGCTCAAGGTGCAGCMTGGGCTTAGTCCTGGCTTAGCCATGCTCCTGCACACACATGAGCACCCTTGTGAACACACAGCTCTGTTTTCTCTCTGCACAGGGCAGCTCTCCTCAGATTTTGGGCCCATTTAAGGCCAAAAGAGCAGTTTGTTATTTTTATCTCTCACCTCGTGGTGTGAGCGGGTGAGGGGAGGGAGCTGCTCGGGGGCCTTGGCTTTGCAGACAGCAGAGCTGGTTCTGCTCAGTGGAAAGTTTTCTGCACCCACAAAACCAGAACCACCAAGGCCAGAGCTCCACCCTCACCACTTTCCAGCTCTGTTTTGCAGCCAGTGTGATGCCCAGCTCAGATGTKGTGACCAGCTCAGAATTTGGGATGGGGACAAAGCTTTTTCCTGGCTCTGACCAGCATGGTCCAGCACTTGGATCCATCTCCTTTACCAACACATCCCTGCACATTTAGCCCTGGCAGGAAGGAGCCACCGAGAGCAAACGTGGTGCCCCTAAAGCGTTTCCTGCAGTAACGGCCTCCGAGGTTGGGTGTTTCCTCCAAAACCTCCTCAGTCTTCCTCCAGCCCCAGGGACCTCTGGCAGGGTGAGGTGSACGTGTCCTGGTACCCTGTCCCCAAATAGAGGGGACAAAGTGTGGGGGCAGGAGAAAAGGCAGAGGGGGCACCGTGGTGCCCACATTGAGACTGACCCCTGCTCCAAAACATGGCCCTGGGCAGGACCCCCCTTGCCACCCCCCTGCCACCCCCCTGCTCCTGCCCCATGGGAGGGACCTCAAGAACTTGAAATAAAAAACASTAAAAGAGGTTTCACCCAGAAAAATTATATTTCATTGAAATAAACAGMTTTGCAGTTTTGTGGTGCACTGTCCTGGGGTTTCCAAAAGCTGCTGGGGCAAGGAGGGGGAAGTGTCCCCAGCCAGGAGGRGCCAATGAGAGTGGTGACAATTTGCAAACATTGCAAACATTTGCAAATGTGCCTTCACATTTCCACAGGTAAAGTCCCAGCACCCCTGGAGACAGTGCACACACACACACTCATCCAACAGCTCCCAGCAAAAAGCACCAGGGATTTCATCACAAGCAGATTTTCTAGAAAAAATCTTGAATAAAAGCAGTTCCTGTACCAACAGATTGAAGTCTCTGTCTCATCTCCACCCTCTGCTTCCCACCAGGCTCAATGTCCCCTGGCCTTTTTTTCTGAGCTGCTGACTGACTTTACCCACTGCTCCACAGTAGTGCAGGCATTTAAGATGCTTCTGTCAACTCTGTGGGGATTTCTCCACTGGAGTGTGGAGATGGCACAGAGCCTCTGCCCTTCTCCAGTTTCTGAGTCGCCTGAGATCTCATCCTGCACATCCCTGTGCATGTGGGGCTTTCATCCCTTCATCTGGGACTCCGTGCAGAGAATGGTTTGGCCACTCTGATAAAAGTGGCTTCAGACAGAAATCCAAATTGCCTTTGCAAGAAAATCCAGCCAGGCCAGTCTTGGGAGTGGCAGAGACCATCTGGGTGCAGCCCCTGTGCCCGGGGGAAATGCAGCCCCAGCGTTTGGCACCAGTGCCAAGAGCACAGAGGGCCTTGGCCTCAGTGCATGCACAAAGCTGCTCTTCTGCATCCCTTCCCCAACCACACCACCACCCCTAAAGCCCCTCCTTGGTTTCCTGACCCAGCTCCAGGCTCTAGTATTTTGGCCTCAGAGCTCACACAGAGATCCCACACTCYTTCCCAAAGGTGTTCTCCAGTGGTTTCCACGCTAGAAACAGATCCTGGGGCAGATGAGAGCCCTGCAAAGSCTGGGCAGGGGCAGGAGGTGGGTCAGAAAATCACTGAGTGAAGCTGTCTCACAGGCGTGGRAGTCCGAGAGCTCCTCACCAGCCCTGAGAGGAAACCACTGATGTCAGAGGGGTCAAGAGACCTGAGCCAGGGTGAGATTGTTTCCTCCAGCYTGAGCCACGCCAACATCCCTCAGCCTGAGCCTCGCCTCCTGCAGGGTTTGTGCCAGCACCACGGGCCTGTGTGGTTTAAATGCCCCACACGWGGACTTTGGGGCACAGCAGCCCTGTCCTCCAGAGCCACAAGCCCTGGCTGTGCTCCCACAGCATCCCTTGGTGACAACTTTGCAAATCAYTTCTTGCAAATCCTTTGCAAATCATCTGCTTTCTCTCCAAAGTGGCATTTAGGGGCCCCCACTGAGGCCAGAGCCAAAATCTCAGCTGGGCTTGGCCACAGACACCCCCAGCCCCTGACTCACCCCTGGGCACCACAGCAGACACCAAAGGGCACAAAGAAACAGTCACGGTACCTATTTTTGCAGCATCCATTTTCAGGTTGAAATCCCAGGTCCGTGGCAGCTTGAGGGACATTTTAGATCAAGAAGGGCTTTTTTTTTTTTTTTTTTTTYTTCCCAAGGTGAGCTTTTTAGGAGATGGGCTGAAACCAAGCTCTGATGATCCCGTGCAGATCCTGCGCCTGGGGTTGATCTCCCCACGAAGAGCAGCAACTCTGCAAGGGGATTTGTCAGCGAACTTCCTGCCTCTSAGAGCAGCCCCTAGCAACCCCATAAAAGTCCTCCCCTGCCCTGCTTTCCTTCCAAGCTCTGCTCTGGCCTCCCCAGCGCTGTTGTCAGGTGATGCTCGCTTTGCTCCCCTCTCWGTGCCCTGCTCTGGCTGACAGGGGGACGCGCTGCCCGGGGCTGCTCCCCACGCCCTGCTCGGTGCATTTGAGGAAGTGGGTGTCACAAACACTGGGTGTCCTCCTGGGCGCTGCTGGAGCTCTGAGCACTGCTCGGAGGAGGACCAGCCCAGCTCAGAGCTGCAGGAAATTTGCTGCTCAGGGGCAGAGCAGAGGTGGCTGCGGCTCAGGTGTGAGCTCAGGGTGACGTCTGTGCCTGTCCTGTGCACCCTGAGTGCACAACCCCACTGCACCGCCGGCCTTTGATTTCTCCTGTGAATTGCTGAGAGGTCCCTATGGCTGATTGAAGGGTTTTACAGCAGTAAAAGCCAAATGGGGGGGAAATGAGGCAGCTCTTGGAGGAAAGGCCATGGAAATTGGAGCAGTGAGGGCCAGGGGATCATAGAACCATGGAATGGTTTGGGTTGGGAGGCACCTTAAAGCTCACCCAGTCCCACCCCCTGCCAGCGACAGGGACACCTTCCACTGTCCCAGGGTGCTCCAAGCCCCAATGTCCAGCCTGGATTTGGGCACTGCCAGGGATGGGGCAGCCACAGCTGCTCTGGGCTAATATGGGATGTGAACAAAGAGCCTACCAGGAGCACTGGATCAGGCCAAATCCCTGCTCACAAGAGCAAGTRTACCCTGGTTTTTGTTGGTTTTCCAGCCAAGAACTGGCTGTGCATCTCCAGAGCAGCCTGGGCTGGGGCTGGGCTGTGCTGCAGCTCTCCAGGCACAGGATGCATGGGAGGGTTGTTACAAATAACCCCATGGAGCAGTGAGGGGGCTCCAAGCSATGGCAGAGCCTCCCCAAGGCCCCAGGGAGGCTCCAGGGCCCCTCTCTCCCCATCCTGGGAAAGCCCAGAGCTTGTGGAGAGGGAAGTTGAGCAGACGCAGGGGGACAGCACAGCGATGGGGGAAGCACAGGGYGATGAACAAGGATGTGGCCAATGGTTCCTGTTGTGATTCCCAGCCCAGCCTCGTGGCCAGGATGCACAGAGCCACCTGCAAAGGGGCTTTTCTTTCTTTSTTTTGTGTTGTAACATGGACTGAGGAAAGCAACGAGCAGGAGCCTGCGCTGGGTGCCCGGTCACAGCACAGCCAGGGTGCAGCCTGCAGGGCTCATTTGGGTAAATCACAGCTGAAAAACTACTGTGTTGCTTTGGGCAGTGACTGGAGCCAGCTCAGAGATCCCCAGCTCACAGATTCCACTGCTCAAAGTCCAGAGAGCGTGACAGTGTGGAAKTTCAGAGCAGAGCAGCCCAGGACATTCCCCAAGGCAGCTGAGATTAACCCAAGATCCTGCTTTGGACCCAAATTCCTCAATTAGCTCTGTTCCTGCTSTATCCTGAGCTGAGGGTCCTGAGCGAGCCCTGAATTATGAACCATTTTGAGCTCTTAATAATATCTGCAGACAGCTAAAGGAGCTTCACAGGCTCACACATTTTGCTCCTTTTTTCCCTTCAGCCTGTTTCTCTCCGACAGCCCTTTCCCACCCACCCGTGTCATGGGCAGGATGTCACATGGCCCTTTCCCCTCCTCCAAACAGAAACTGTGCTTGAGCCCAAAATCATGCAGTGCAGCCCTGCTGTGTGTGTGTGTTCACACCACCGAACTCAGCCCTCCCTGACACCCCAAAACAGCCCCTTGAGCCCCCCAGAACTGCTTCAGCCACCTCCTGCTCGGGGACCTGACAGCTGCCTGCAGSTCTGGAGAAAGACAACACCAGATTGACTTTTTTCTTAGCCACCCCTCAGGGCAGCTGAATCATGGAATTGCAGAAAATGGTTTGGGTTGGGAGGGATCTCAAAGCCCATCCAGTGCCACCTCTGCCATGGGCAGGGGCACATTCCCACTGTCCCAGGCTGCTCCCAGCCCCAGTGTCCAGCCTGGCCTTGGACACTGCCAGGGATCCAGGAGCCTCCCCACCCTCACAGGGAAGGATTCCTTCCCAATATCCAACCTAAACCTACCATGCTTCAGCAGAACCTAAAAAAAAAAAAATCTCAGCCCATAAAGTTATTTGTTTTTACATCCCTCTTCCCTCAGGATCTCATGGAAAATGTGTCTGGACAGGTCACAGGGAGGCAGCCTTGGCCTGAGGATCACTGTCTGGGGCTGGAGCACAGTGAGCACCAGGATTTCCACTGGGAATTTGCCATTTTCCATGTTTAATTGGATTAAGCTGGCACAGTTGGGAGAAAAGCAGGTGGGAGCTCCAGCTGAAGGGCTGGCACTGGGCTGGGCTGTGCCATTAGCTCTGCCTGGCACTGTCACACATGGTACTATTACACAGTGCCCTGGTGCCACGGCTCCACAGCTGCCTGAGGATTCCTGAGTTCCTTTTCTGACAGATTTAACACCAAAAGATTGGTCAGCCCTTGAATTGCTTCATAAATTGCTCATTATGGCACAGTGCTGCCCAGCAATCTCCTGCTGAACCGGGAGCAATGTTTTGCAATGTGGGAGTTGGGGTTCTGGTGTCACCTTGCAGGGTTCCCACCAAGCTGTGCTTCTGCTGGAGGATGAATGTGTCTGCAAATGGCCACAGTGACAGGAAGCCCTGAGAGGCTGCTGAGGAGCTGGTTTGGCTTAGCTGATAAGTTGAGAACAGACAAAATAACACAAGRGCTAAAAATAGCATTTTCCTGGGTAAACAGAGGATTCTGCTCTCTTGATCCCAGGCAAGCCAGGAGAAATGATTAAAATGAAGGAATAACTTATGCTTAGTGGAACTCCCAGCAATTTTTCACATTCCCAATGAAATCTTTAGGTAAAATGAGCTGATTTTGCAGGAAGAGCAGTGCCAACACTTCCCTCATTGCCGAGCAAGATGTGCCTGGATGATTTGAACCCACAGTCACCCAACTCCCACTGGGAATGTGGCTGTTCATGTCCCTCACACAGGATGTGGACAGTCCAATCCTGCCCACCTGTGTCCTTGYCACAGGTCTGCTCTTGGGAAAATCCCTGAAGAAGGAGAGCTACAGGGCAAGAAATGAGAGAATGTGAGTTTGTAACATGGAACTGCCCTRTGGAGCATGGAAAGGTTTGCAGCATCCCACAGCACTGAATAAAACTCCTCTACAGACAATGGAACGTATATTTATTTAACAGTAACATACAGTATATAAATAGGGTAAATACTTTAAAATATACAATATTTCACATTCAAACATTCAGTCAAAGAAAGGCAACTCTACCTGTGTAGCTAAAACTGGAATCAAAAGAACAATGCACAGAGAAAGCAGCCTATGGTGGGAACACGCCAGGGCTGAAGATCAGGGATAACACAGGGATTACAAAACTGCCACTCCGGGCCTGGGCACAGAGGGAGGGACCACGGGAGCTTCCATGCAATGATGTTKATGGCTGAGCTGTCCCCAGGAGGGGCTGGATGGGCCCACACTGAGCAGAGCCCTGCCCTGCTCCCATCACACAGATGGGGAAGGGAGAGAGGGCAAGATCCCATCAGAGCCAGGCTGGGGGGGCTCTCTGCACACACCAGACACAGGACACATTCCCTGGAAGATGACACTGAGATTCCACAGSCTGGTGCCAAGCCTTAGGTGATGCTGCAGGAGCCCCAGCTCCRTGTGCCACACAGCACCACAGAGCCCAGAAAGAGCTGCCCCTTCAGCTCAGGGTCACTGCTGAGCCTGCCCAGGGAATGTCTGTTTAACACTGACTGACCCACAGGACACACTGCAGAACCCAGGTCTSATGCTTCCCTGAGCATTGTAGCCACAGGCTGGTCCTGCCTCCCACCTGCAAACTCACCTGACCTACAGGCAGACAGGGTAAAGCAAATTCCCACCAAGGAGTGYCAGTGCTTGTGGCTGCAGGCCCAGCCCAGCTGTGGATCAAACCTGTGTCCAAACCATATTAGCCCCTAAAAAACAAAACACTGGGGGTGTCCAATGCCCTGCCCAGCATTGCCAGCCACTCACTGCACCACAGCAGCGTCCCAGCCATGTGCCATCCCTATGGACACTCACCTCCCTGGCAGCTTCTTCAGTGACACTAAAGCAAAGTGGCCCCCACACCAGCCTGCCCCTGCCCAGCCATGCCTTCCCACTGGCCAAATCCTTCCTGTCCCTTCCCCTCTGCCCACACACACATTCCAGCTGGCACCATCTTCCCCTTGCTGCTCTGCTCTTCCCAACTTCTCTGCTGCTGGAGCCCACTGTGAACCAGAACTTTTGTGCCACACTGAGCTCAAGCTCTGCAGCTGGRGAACTTCTTGGGAGCATCCCCACATCTCCTTACCCACCATCCCTGTGGTCATTCTGGCCCCTCCAACACCAAAATTSCTCAGAGCTGCAGCATCACCAAGGTCCTGCAGGGCTTAATGCAAAGAGGGGCCACATGTGCTGTTGCACATCCSTTGTTGCACATCAGTTACTCCTTCAAAAACAGCCACAGCCACGAACTGCAGCTTTTCATCTTTTCTCAGGGAGTTAAAACTCCCCATGGCTGGAAGTGTTCAGACAGACTGGGTGGGGCTTGGAGCAACCTGGTCTAGTGAGAAATTCTCTGCCCAGGGCAAGGGAGGTGGAACAAAATTTAAGGYCCCTTCCTACCCAAATGCAGGATCCAACTCCTGATTCTCTGAGTTCAGGTGCACAACTTGCCAATGATCTCCCCCACTTCCCTCCCTTCCTCCTCCAAGGATCCACTGTTACCACTCACTGAAATGAACTTCATGCAGCATATCATTCCCAGGCAGCTTTCCCCATGAGGAGCAGCCCAGGTTTGGAAGGCCACCCTTCAGGGGAGGAAACAGGAATAAAGCTGATCAGGGAAGCCACCCACAGGCAGAGCTGCTGCTGCTGCTGCTTCTCTCACAGCCACTCAGTGGAATTGCTTTGCCCTCCAGTGCCCACCTCGGGCATTTACACCTTCTGGAAACACCCAGCTCTGCCCCAAACCAGAGCCTGCAGCAAACCTTTGCCCCACTAACCGAAGAGGAACAAAAATTTTAAAGCAGACAAGCAGGAGACTAAAGACCCACCAGGGAAATTGCTTATTATGAACAGATCACACTTTTGTAATATTTATCAACACTGTCACTTCTGCCTGTGACCCAATAGTCACAACAAGGGATTTTGGCAATGGTGTTGGCAATGCACAGGGAGAATCCAGAACAGCACCAGCTGGTCCAGCCCCACAAGGCAAACCAAACCTGGCACCCCCACACTGTTCCTATGGGTGCWCCTGGCAGGGCCTCACTTGGCCTCGCTGAACTGAGGCAAATTGTCATCAAACAGCCCAAATGTTAACCCTGGGCAAAGCCAAATGGAAGCACCTTGCTTCTCCTCTGCAGTTTCTGTATGAGGGGCTTGGGCCAATTTTTGCTCTGTCGACAGAAAATAAATCCCTGCCTAATTCAAGCTGGAAGGGAACAGTCTCCACAGCCAGCCCAGGAAAATATGTGTGACACCACTGGCATTCCCCAAACAGAATCCTGAACTGGCTCAGTGCAGAACTTGTCAGCACCAACTGAAAATAATTCATAAAAACAGAGCCTTCTCTGAAGCTTGTGCTTTCCATCAAACATCTGCATTTGTAGCACACATCCTGCCCTGTGGCTCTGTTCAGTAAGACAAAGCAGCGCCCACCACAGTCCTACAAAAATGTGGGATGGAGCTTGGGACCTGTGCCATGTACTTACACACACACAAGCATTCTTGCACACTCAGGGTAAATGAAAGCAGTGGCAGAATCAGYATATGGAGTAAAATCTCTGAATTTGGGGTATTTTCAGGTGGTTTATTTTCTGTCGATGCCAAGCCAGCTTGCAGCAGGTACAGATCTCATATGGGGGTCTATGTCTAAGGTTTAGGGCAGCAACTGCTTGAAAACACCAATGTATTTCTGTATTATCTCTYCCTGTCACTCATTCCCCAGGCTAAAATAAGTAAAGTTTCTCTCTCCCATGCACAAACTATGAAAAGAAGAAAAATCAGAGTCACCTTGTGTTTGGGAGCATTGCTTAAGGTGTAAATGGGGATATTATCTCTATCTGATCACAAAAAAAAAAAAGAATACTTTTACAATCTTTAGGGCTCTCATTTTTAAATAATAAAGAAGTATAACAAAATTAAGGAAAGTACTTCAATAAAACTTGCAGCTATAAAATACAAACTATTTCTGACAAGATTCAGTAAGCAAAGCAGGACAGAAGCCTGCAGAGAAAGAAACCCAGACTGAAATGCAACACAGACCATGGTAAACTCAGCAGCATGACTTCTACAACTCAAGTAACAAACAGACATGATCCCTGAAAGAAAACAAAACTCCCAGCTGTAGCTGGAGCCCACCCAGCAATGAAACTGGCTGGAAACTGCTCCCCAAGTTACTTCAAATATCCCAGAGTGGGGTTTCCAACCTTGGAGAAATGAAGAAGTGTGGTTCTTAAAGGGTATTTAGTAGGGCAAAATGAACCAAGTTGCTTAAAGGTTGTTCTTATTCTGCAGGAATTTCTCAATGGAACTTCAACATTCTTTACAACTTAATTACTTCAATCAGTTTTGAAGCAATGTGAACCTCACACATTTCCACACACAACTATCATGTTTCTTGACTCCTTGTCCCCMGTCTGTTTTGGGTTTAATTGGTTATAAAAATCTGATTTGCCAAAATATCAGCCCTGAAGGGAGGGAATGTGAGAGGCACTGCAAAAGCAGCAGGTGAGAGCAGGTGCAGGGCTGGCAGAGGAAATAGGACTGGGTTAGCACAAGATCCTCTTCCAATTACCTGGTGCAAGGAGATTCCCACAGGCATAAACTTCTGGGACAATTCACATTGCACTCCCAGTTATCACTGGAGAGAAGGATGGTCCCCTGAGCTGCCACTGGGAGCAGGAGGGCCAGGGGAGGGCACAGCCTCGCCCTCCCTGCCCGCTCCCATGGACAATGCTCTGTATTCCCTGCAAAAACCCACCCATAGGGAAAGTTCAGCTCTGCCCACACCCCAGTGAGGATGATCAATCCTCCGGCTCCACCCAAAAGACATTTCAAGCCTTAACTCCTTCTCAGCTACAAACCCAAGATTTGCTCATTTGAACCAAAGCTCTATAAATATATTATTTAAAAAAAAAACACAAATGCAAACATTTACCAAGAATGGAAGAAAAGTTACAGTGAAATGAGGCCTTGCTATTGTCTTAAATCAGGCAAGCCAGGAATTCCCTGGAGGAGGCCTGTCCWTTTTCAGTCCTGTTCCAACCACCCRGGGTCTATGCRTCCTCCAGGCTCCCCAAAATTCCCCTGTCCACCAGGTGTGCTTTCAGAGTGTTGAAGATGTGAAGCTGCTGATCTGGTCTCAATGTCAAGAACTGCTGGATCAGTTTGCTTGGGTTAGGGCCTCTGGAACACAAAAGCATAGTTAGCAATGGGGTACTGCTAACATAAAAACAGTTTAGCAATGGCTAAACTCAGGGAGGTGGGGCTCAAAGATAATTTCATCAAAATAACGGGTTTAGATTAACTGCTGTGTTGTCCATTCCTTTGCCAGCTCTATGCAGGAAGCCTAACTACATTTGGGGTGTGGCAATGGACTCAAAAGGCACAAGAGGCTGAGCAGTAAACACAAAGTAACACCCCAAACCWAATACATTTGAACAGGATTGTGCATCTTACCAGCAGGTGTTCCCCCTCAAAATTCAAAGCAGCCACATACAGACAGCTCCTCAGCTACCCCWGTAGATCTTTTAGGTACCTACAGGCTTTTTCCTCTGTGCTTGGCTATAGAATGCTTGTTAATGCTGCAAAATTAGATTTTCATGTCCAAGATTCACAGGGATGCAGAAGGGACATGGAGGGGGACAATGGGACTGGAATAACATCCCACARGAAATGAGGGTTGTGTTTCCAGCTCTGCTAAAGATCCTTCCCGTTCTCAAGYCCCCATTTCCTGCCTTGTCTTTTCAGCTGTTAATTGATCAGGGAGCACAACTGCCTCTCATTGCCAGGCAGGTTATGCCCYGGGTGTGACAGGAACCCCCAGCCCCAGCAGGGCAAACGCACCTGATGAAGCTGGCAATGTACACGTTGACAAAAGTGGCCATCAGGTACTGGCAGTCGAAGCGATCCATGATCCCCCCGTGCCCTGGGATGGTGTTGGCAAAGTCCTGTGAGAGCAGAGGAATTGCACTGAGCACCACCCCATACTTGAGCTTGCTGTTGTGCCCCCACACACCACACTCATCCCCTCACTCCAGTTCTTCCCAGAAAGCAAAGTCAGACCAAAGAAACATTTTGTTTAAYGTCTCCCTGGTTTTGGAAGTTTCTCCTTTATGAAGTTGCTGGTGCCAGAGGAGCACTGAGGCTCAACCCAGCTCTGTTACTCAAATGTCAARGAAGGCAAATATTTATCTGCTGCCACCCTGCCTTGCCTTTCAAGGCATCTTAACTGAGCACAGACTGTTTATATGTAAAACCAGCCAACAAGACATCAAGGGAAACCTCAGATTGCAAAACTTCCTGGCAAGGTCTTCCTTCCTCTACCTGCACCACAGCATGGTTTAGAATATCACAGTTGAAATCTTAAGGTCTGTTCCCTTTTGGTCAAAAAAAAAAAAAACCCAGATCCTGCTCCAGCATTTTATCTGTTACTGAAGAAACCTCCCTTCCCCTCCCTTCCCTCAGAGCTTCAGGACTGTGTCAAATGGCAGCAACCACTTCGTGTTACCTTCCCAAAATGTCCTTGACTTTGACCATCCTCACCTTGATTTTGAAGGCCCTCTTAAAGCCACTGGCAAAGAAGCCCCCAAAGGGCCCAATGAGGGAGGCAAAGGTGGAGAGGGCGATGCTGTGGATTTGGAAGGGGTACATCCGGACTGTCTTCTGCAGGAAAAACAGCACAGGAGGATTTCCAATGAGAACAACACTGCCCACCCCTCCTTCTCTGCCCCCCAGGCTCTAGCTCAGCTGGTTTTCAGGTGGGTTAATGTCTCACCAGATTTGGGATGATTCCTTTGGGCTCTCAATCAAATACACGCACCACTACTTTCCCCCTTTTTTTCTGGATGCACCTTCAACCCCTGTCACATTCCTTCACATCAAAACAAASTACTGCTCTCTTTCCTCAGTGATCCTGCCCCACTAAGTAAGACCCAGTGAACAGAGAGAATCATACCCAGCCCACCACAGACTGCAGCACCACAGGGATGTTGTACTCCTGCAGCTGGAACAGCTCAGAGGGCTCACAGTCCACGGTGAAGCTGTTGGTGTCGTTGTTGAACTCCACAGGACACGTGAAGCAGCGGTACCCAGACATCACATAGGACAGCTCCAGGGAGACAGGAGAAGAGACAAGAAAACAGGATTAATATTTTCCTCAAGGATTTCTCAAGGGAAAGGCCACCCAAGGAGATGAGGGAGGRGGGAGCCACACTCCCAGCTTCCTTAAGGAGATTATTCCCCTGAGCAGCAGTAATTGGCTAAATGCAGAAGTAGAGGAGTGACCAGGGTGTACCCTAAGGCTGAGGGACAGCAACAGTAGCCACAGAGATGGTCATAAAAACAGGGTAGAACATTCCAAGAGTGTGGARTTCCCCACGCAGCCCCTGAAATTATGCACAGCACCATCCAACAGCAGCAGARGGAAAATGGTTAATTACTGTAATGAGCACATCACAGGGATTGAAAACTTTCTCCAGTATTCAGCACCACTAGCAGTGACTGCATACAGCAATGGACCACTTTGAATGCTGGGCAGCAAGAAAAGGTGAAATATCTGACAAGAGATGGCAGAGATTAAAGCCTGACTGGATTTTTTAGACAAAACACTGCGATCCTATGAAGGGAAAACTCCTCCAATAGAGGAAGTACCATAATGGYACGTACCAGCAATCCAAACAAAACRGTGGAAAARAATCCTCCAATAAAACCCTCCCAGGTCTTCTTTGGTGAGAGCTGCCAGAGAGAGAGGAAAGGGAGTTATTATTTATACCCCTCTGCAGACCTTCCTCACTTGTGAACTGCTGAGGCCAACACAAACTGGTGCCACCACCCCACAAATAAGAGTTTGGTCAGAAGCTGACCTGGGTCTGAAACAGTTCATTCATTCACGGTTGGACTCGATCTTAAAAGTCCTTTCCAACCTAAATGGGTCTATGATTTAATTTTATATCCTCAAAGATTGGGATGTATACCAGATGTAATTTGGAGACTTGCTTTAGAACCGTAAGAGGCTACAAAGCAGGAGCTGGGGGAGCACAGGACTGAGACCCAAAGGACAAAGTTCACATKTTGTCCCCCAAAGTATCCCAAACCTTAATGAGCGGCGTGCGGCCAAAGAAGAACCCAAACATGTAGGCCATGATGTCATTGCAGATCACACAGGAGATCGGGACAATGAACCTGCAGGGAACAAGGGTCAAACCATTGGCAAGTGCCAACATCACACAACTCCAGTGCTTACTGAGCAGCTGCCATCAAAAGGCACTTTGCAGCGCCATCACACCAACATMCCCTCTTCCAGTGCAAAAAAAAAACCACATGAAACTCTGAGGGAAATCTAGGGGTTATTCCAGTGCTCTGGACTGAAAAGTGGGCTGTGTACCCAGAATGGCCTGTTTTCAGCRCATTTTTTTTAGCCACACACAACAGGGTGTTGGACACTCCCCTCCTGACCTCCTGCATAAACATTTCCTGCATTTTAGCTGTAGTGTGACACACTGAGGAACAGGCAATCTTAAAGTGCCCAGAATTAATTCCTGTCCCTGCTGGTTTTGGCAGAACCACCAAAGGGGCTTCCCCTGTGCACAGCACTTGGATTGTGGTGGCAGGCTCCCCTCCTGCCTTCCAGWGTGGCTTTTACCACATGCTGACAGCACGGCCCCACACGAGCAGCATTTCCCCAAACAACTGGGGAAAATGTACACATTTAGCAAGTGTGGGTATCAGCAGAAAGCACCTAGCCAGTCCCAAAGACACCTGAAAGGTTCCTGTACCCCACAGCAATTTTACAAAATTCTCCTTTACAACATCTCTGTATATGCTGAAGTAGCACAAACCAAGACCTAAGTTTCTGAGGACTCACTCAGTCTTTTGCAATTCTGAGCAGACTGGTCCCTCACAGGAAGCACCTTCTCCCTGGCCATTTGCTTTTGTGAGAGAACAGTTTTAACTCAAAACAAGTTTTGAGATTAAAAAAAAATTAGATATTAGGAATTTATTCCTACTGTAATGGTGATAAGGCCCTGGCACTGGTTGCCCAGAGAGGTTGTGGACTCCCCATCCCTGGAAGTGCCCAAGGYCAAGGTGGATGAAGCTTGGAGCAAYCTGGGATAGTGGAAGGTGTCCTGCCCACRGCAGGGGKTRGGATGATCACTAAAGCCCGTTCCATCCCAAACCAGTCTATGATTCTATGMAGCTGTTTCAGACTGCAGAAATCAAAGCAGCTCAAAAGACAGAGGAAACTCACCAGATCATTCCCTCAAACAGGTTGTGGATGATGAGGTGGGACTGGGTAACAATAATCAGCAATGTCACATGGGTCCAGCCAAACTGGAAGAGAACAGAGCAAATTGTCCAGGCTGCCCAGAGCCACTGGCAGCACTGCTCAGCTCAGATGCTCAGTGCTCCTCAGAACAGCTCAAGCWCAAGGGTACCAGGGCACCTCACGCCCATAAAGCTCATCTATTATTTATWGTCTGTTAACCAGTCAGACAAACAGGACAAGCTGTCTTGTACAGAGTTTTTTTGGCACCATGGGGTGAACAACTRTCCTGGCWTCTCCCAGCTGCCAATAAACATCTCACTGTTGAAGATCTGCAAAGCTGGATTTCTGACTGACTCATTTTACAACTATAAAAGCCACACCAGACTTCACAGAGAAATCTTCCATATATTTTCCTGGAAACATGTGGAGTTTCTCCTGTGAGCRGGAATACCTATTTCATGGTTTCTTCCCAAGGGATAAAGTGAAGGAATCTGTGAATGTTATCATCATTTTTGGGGTAAGTTAAATTTTTGACTCCTATTCAATATTATTTCTTTTTTCAGCTTTAATATAGTGCACTACATCAAGGTACCCATCTTATATAACACTATAATCTACCAGAAATTCTTTACTTTTATACTATGTAGTAAGGAATTCTCATTAAGATCTTTCATCTAYTATCTTTTGTCTGCACATTTGTMTTAACAAATAACTCATCTTTTATARATGTATGWYTTGTCASCATTGAAACCTGMAGGACAAAGTCACAAAGTTTAAATCCTTGCTGAGTCTGAGGCTAAGATTGGATGGAGCCACCCTTGGACTTTTCCCTCAGAGAAGGAGTTTAAAAAGCCAGGGGGTCTTCTCAAGCAGCCTTGTGCAGCCCTCTCAACTTGTAGGAAGTTTCTTAGTTGCAGAGTGCAGAGAGAAGAGAACATGTTTGAAGGCAAATCAGTCAGTCAGCTTCCTAAAAATACACTGTGCTCACAGTCACTTCTCTTCCAGGCAGCAGAAGCACCTACTGACACACAGTTGCTTCACAGAATATTTTCAAGCAGCCTAAATTAAATTATTCCTTCTTCTGCCTCCAGCTGGGGGCAGACAGGCCCTGGATTTRACCTCACCAGGCCCCGGATTTTAACCTCACCATGTAGAACTGGAGGCGATAGTGTTTCTTCACCAGACTCAAGACAAACATGCAGAAACCTGAGGAGAAAGAAGGGAAGTCAGTGGTGGGAATGTGCCTTCAACAATCAGAARTATTCTTGTGCCATGATTTTGCACAGCTGCTTGGGATTTTATTTGAATAAAGGAGCAATGGGGAGTGAGAAATGCACTGCTTTGGAAGYCACCACTGCCTATAAGCAACACTTGGACAGATGACCAATCTGGCTGTCCCATAAAGATAYGGAGTTTTCTCCTCCAGAAYCTCATGGAAAAGATTTGCCACCTCCACTCTCACCATGGAGCCAAGTTACAGCATCGCTGGAGAACAGATATGATGTACTGTGGATCCTGCACTGGACACAGCACTCCAGGCAGGAGATTTCTTCCCTCCAGCCCTGACATTAAGGTGGTGCTCACCTGTCAAGTAGAGAGCGAAGGAAATGAAACGATGGTATTTGCTGAGGATCCGCAGGGGCTCCTCCCTCTGCACCAGGGTGAAGAAATAATCTGTCACTGTCTCGCCATAGAAGAAATAGTTCACACACAGCAGGAAGTACCTGGGGAGGGTGGGGATCTTGTCAGCAGAAACCTAAAATGCTCCTGAAGTGGCTGATCCCTGAGGTCTTGACACTGCTCTGTGACACTGCCAAAAGGCATTGCTTCTGCCAGCCAGAACTGCCTCCCCCAGTTTGGAAATGGCACCTTCATTCCAAGGAGTAGCTGCATCTCAGCCCCACGCTGGGATGGCTCATGGCTGGGGTTTGGATTTGGCCATGATGCACACAGACTCTGCCTTTAGGTGGCACTGCTCAACTGGCCTCTGCCTCCCAAAATCACACACCCTGCACCTCCCCAAAACTACCCACCCTGTGCTCCCCAAAATCCCCTGTCCTGCGCATCCCAAAACCCTGTGCCTCCTAAAAGCACCCACTTCCAAACCCACTTGCTCCATGCATCCCAAAATCACCCACTCTCTGTGCCCCAAAAGCCCCACTCCTGTCCTTTCCCCAACCCGTATATAGTGACAGGACAAGGGGAAATGGACTTAAGCTGAAGGAGGGCAGGGTTAGATGGGATATTGGGAAGGAATTTCTCTCTGTGAGAGTGGGGAGGCGCCCTGCACAAGGTACCCAGAGAAGCTGTGGCCAGGTTAGACGGAGCTTGGAGCAACCTGGGATAGTGGAGGGTGTCCCTGCCCATGAYGGGGTTGGAATGAGATGATCTTTATGGTCCCTCCCAACCCAAACCATTCTGGGATTCTGTGATTTCCGTTTACAAGTGCTGCCAACGAAGGTCACTGTCAGCACACAGCAGCCCCAGKGTCTGTGGCTGGGTCCCCTGTGTACCCCAGGTGAGGTGTTGGTGCTGCACACAAGGGACAAGGAGGGCAGGGGATGGGGAGGAGGCCCTCACTCACCAGCTCAGCGTCCTGAACCATGGCAGGTCATACGAATGGTACACRTTGTAGCCAATAGTGATGATCTCGTGGAAACATTTGATCTGGACACACATCACCTGCACAAAAAGATATCCAGGCACTGTAATTCCTATTGGTTAAACACCTCTTTCCTGGAGGAAACAAAAACAYGTATGTACAGAGCAAAAGGTACTTCAGCAGTGGCTGCCAGTCCTGCAGGACTCTCCTAATCCAATATAGGAAGATCAGCACATTGTTTTTCCTCCCCTTTCCTCTGCAGGTTTCTAACRACCCCTTCTATTAGTACCAACTGCTGCCCAATACTGACCAGCAGATTCCTCCCAGGCTTYCTCCATGGAGAGAGAAATCCAGGAAGATGAATAAGGACCTCTAGAACATGAGGCTCTGAGTTCCCCAACCCCTGCAGTGTCCCTGCAATCTCCCCCCCACCCATCAATGGGGAAGGTCAGGAGACCTCTGAGGAGCACTTACTATTGTCATTAAGACCATGGGRCCCAAGTAGATGATGATGAAGAAGAAGGTGATCATTGCCAGCGTGAGGATGCCTCTCACCCACCAATTCTTCCATCTGGGCCATGGAAGGAAAACATCASATAAAGTCAAGATGAAGCAAAGCAGTCAAACAGCACTTCTGCTCTCTGCATGTCAAGGAAGGAAACAGCCCTGGAAACCCCAAGTTTCCTCTCAGAGGTGCAGAGAGACCTTGATCTGATGACAAAAGCCTGGCTACAGCAGTTGCAGGTTTGCAGCTCAGTCTCACTAAATGCAGAAAGCTTTACCTAGGGGCTGAGGGTGCTGAAATGGGACAGGGCAGCCTCTGCTCCTGTTCTGCTGCAGGTTCACCACACCTTGRACAAGCTGCATGATAAATTCAAATAAAATGGGAGTCATTCCCCCTCTCTGCACTACTATCCAAGAGGGGTGGCCCCTGTTGTACTTTCACTATTTTCCTGCCGTGAGCCTCTTCCACCCTCACAGCACACCCAGGAAAGACACCTTCTACTGTAATATAAATATGACAATTTTCTCTCGAGCAGTTTATAGAGTATATCCCTGTCTTGTTTCTAAATCCTGTCCGTATCAGTACAAATCCTCAAGCATTCCTGCAGAATTCARTCACAGCAGTGGTTAAAAACCCCGCACCTCAAACTTTTGCTGTGAGTGCCATCAATACCACACACAAGCTCTGTGGGTCTGCCCCATCCAGGCCTGGACCTGCCAGGACCCAGCAGGCAAAGAGATCCCCCCAGCACTGCTTTGSCCCCTCTTCTCCCACCCACAGCCCTGACCCTGCTGCTTCCCACGCTCTCAGGAGCAGGGAGAGGCCTGGCCAGCAGCTCCTTCAGCTTCAGCAGCCCCCACTGGGCATGGGAAACCACAGGGAAGGTGCAGAGCCCTGGGAGAGCACAGGATGGTGCTCAGGCAGTGTCACCTTGAGGACAGATTGGAGAGAGCTCTGTTCAGCACTTCTGGAGTGTCATCCGATGTCGGCACTGGGGATGAACCCCCAAACTCAGATTTGCTCTCGCTGTCTGATGCTGTCTCTCCATCCAGCTTGGTGTCAGACTCTGACTCCTGCAAATTAAAGAGAGACAAGGAGTTCTAGCAGCCACTCTGAAGGAACCTGAGCCAGCCAACTGGCTCTAACACCACYGCTCTGCTTTGGCATGAGAGAGAGTGGAGAAGAAATTATTCTGTGTATTACACAGGGTTAAACCCATGAGAAACATCCTCAGGTGTTTCAGGTGACATCCACAAGGGATTTGATGGCCCCTCAGTCTCAGCAGCAGACACAGGAAAGGGCCTGCTTCCCTTGCAYAGTTACAGATGCCTTGCAGTGGATTAATGAGCATTTCCAAGTGAAGCAAGTGTTCCGGGACTCATTAGCAGGAATTTTTACAAGGTCTCGATTTTCAGGCRGATCTCAAAGAATGTAACACTGCCCAAATTAGCCAGGAAGAAAGGCTTCCAAGTGGACAGGCTCAAGGCTTCCTGACAGACTTCTGAAGCGCTGATGACTTGAGGACACTAAAAATAACACAGAGCCCATCCTCAAGCAGCTGAGGAGGAAGAGCATGGCTTATCACCCTGACCCAACCATCCCCTCTGGCCCCAGGGGAAGCCCGCGGTGCTGCAGAGGGACACACGTGCTGTGTGTTTTCCCTGCCCCTTGGACTGCTCCAGCACTCAGCCCCAAGCAAAGTCCTGTGTTTAAGGGTAAATAAATAGAGGCGAGGCAGGTWACTGAAGGCTCTGCACCAGGCCAGGGTGGAGAGCAGACAGCAGGTGAGTCCTGGCTCTTCACAGTCGCTGTTTGCACTCTGAYCCAGCTCATGAACAGAGGACAAATGCGCAACTCCACATTTTGCCCGTCATTTCAGCAGCACAGCTTCACCCTGCTCCTCACTCCTGGAAGTAAGGAAGGAAAAGGCCACTCCCTGGGGAGCATGCAGGCAAGGCAGAGCACTTGGCATCAGCCCACAGGCTATCTGCAAACTCCCGGAAAAGTGAGTGTGTCTGCAGGAAAAGCACAGAGAGAGCTGAGCTGACAAACGCTGGGAGCTCTGCAAACAATGAGACTTCACCCCTTAGGGCTCCCAGGCAGCGTCGTCCAGATCAAAACCAGCCAAATCTGCTGTGACTGGCTAGGTGCAGTCCACAGCTGGGGGTRTTTGTAGTTCAGTAGAGCAGGAAGGCTGGAGCTGCTCCCTTATTCAAAGCAGGAAAAGGTAATCACTCCCCCAGCTGGAACATTTCAATGGCTGCAGGCCAGGTTCTTAAATCAGACAAGGACAGGGAGGCACTGTCAGGTGGAGGCAGCTAAAAATACATTGGTGATGTCAGAGATTATTCCCAGGGATGCGCAGAGCTCCAGCCACACACCAGCAGCACCCAGTGTCACCTCCTCTTCACCTTCCTCCACACTCCTTCTTTCCATTCATCCACCAGGAAGGAGGAGTCTGGGTTTGCCTTCAACACAACACAGCTGCCAGCCCTCACATGGGTTTGAAGAGCTGGCAATGAAATACAACATGGCTTTTTTTGAGCTGTTTTTTCACTGGTCCACAAAATCCATTTGGACCTCAGATTTTGGAGGGAYTTTAGCTGGGAATTCAAATCCATAAGGCAGCTGCAAATGGTAGCAGAGACTGGATATTGAAAATCCCCTCCCTGGGGACCACAGATTTGGCATTTTATARTACAGCACAGGTCAGGTTTTAGGCAATCTGTGCTCTGTATTTAGCTATAGTTCATGCTCCCATTGCARTGCTTTCTCCAGTAAAAGGATTCTCTGCAGAATTCCCCTGGGAGCGATCTAAATAGCTCCAGCCAGACCAAAATCAGCTTCTCCTCTRTACAGGCTAAACTTAAAATCCTCAAGCACAATTCTGGTGCAGTCCCAGTGTCCATCACCCCACACAAGTCACCAGCCTGGTAAAAGAAGCAGSACCGAACTGAGAAGACGGATCCAGTGTTTTATTCCCCAAGWGCAAAGCAGGCAAATCAGAGGATCRGAAGCTTCACAAAGTGCTCAGAGACCAAAAGAAGGGGAAAAAGCATTTGTGCCTTCCTCATGTCCAGTACTGGCCAAGAACATGAGAGATGAAAGAAATGCTCAAGGACTGAGGAATCTGATGGTGCAAGTGAGCTGATGTCCTGATGCCTGCTGTGCCCAATCCCTGCCACATCCTGATCCGTGCTGTGCCTGATCCCTCTCACATCCTGATCCCTCTCACATCCTGATTCCTGCCTCATCCTGATCCCTCTCACAACCTGATCCCTGTCACATCCTGATTCCTGCTGTGCCCGATCCCTGCCACATCCTTATTCGTGCTGTGCCTGATCCCTCTCACATCCTGCTCCCTGTCACATCCTGATTCCTGCTGTGCCCGATCCCTGCCACATCCTGATCCCTGCCTCATCCTGATCCCTSYCWCAWCCTGATCCCTGCTGCACCTGATCCTTSTCACATCCTGATGYCTGCCATATGCCARCAATGATTCCCTAAATCAACCATACCACRCAGATRTTGCAGGCAAATTGATATAAAACCACATCACCAAATCCCCGAGTCACCAACTGCAGGGCAAGGCCAACCCAAAYCTCATCTGCAAAGAGCTTTGGGCTCCAGAAGCAGAAGAGCCTCACTGGTAGCCCAGCTGTTCCCCACTTCACCCTAAAAACCAGTAACAGCAGAGGTGGAGCAACAAATACACAACACCCACAGCTCCCACAAACATTGCCAGGTTACTCCCAGAAAGCACAAAGAAGCCAATAAAGATAATCARGAAGCCAATCACAATAAATGGACATTGTTAGGGCTCAACGAGAAAATGCAGGACTCATTCCTGACACTTTTTCCTTGATCAGTTTAAGCCTGATGGAAGAAATCACAAGGCAAAGTGAGGGTAACTGACATTTTAACCTTTTTGCTTTGAAAATGACTGAGTAACATCAAGAGTGAGTTCTTCTCCTTACTCATATTCTCCTGAATCAGAGCGTTGAGATTTTATAAGACATTGTGCCAGATATAGGCTATAGAGAGGACTCAGTAATTGACACTATTTTTATACCTTTTATGCAAATTGCCCCCATCAGCCTACAAATCATCAGTTTAAGCAGCTGAGTGGGTGTTAAATAAGGTTTTTAAGCCYGAGCATGATGCACCCTGGTGTGGGCCACTGAGCCCAGCTGTGGCATTGCCTTGGGACACCCTCTGGCATTGCCTTGGGGACATGTCCCACACTTCTCCACTGCTCTCCCTTGTCTGTGAGGATCAGAAGCCCACGGCACAGCTTCTTTGACAGGCAGGGCTGTGCCAGKGGGATTTAAGCTCATTACAGGCAGTGCTTCCAGAAAAGCCTGGAATGACAACACCARCAGGGGAGTAGGCTCTGAGAGATGGGATTTTGTCACCAACTCTGCTGCTTCCCAAAGAAACATCAGCTTTCTGATGCCTCTTCTGGTTTTTTTCTATTTCTTCCCCTGAAACAAAAGCGTGGAGARGCTCCAACTTGCACAAGGTTGTCCCAGAAATCGTGAATGGTCTCCTTTCCAAGCCACTGCACCATACTGTCTCCCGTACTATCTCCTTCATCCCTCCATGGACATTTTTCTGCCTTTTCCTAGTTKTTATTTAGGTTCTTCCCAAAATCAAAGCTCTTCAGCCACAGGTTGATGCTCACAGACCCCTGAACCAACAATGACTTCGAGGTACCAACTAACACAGCATGATCCTAAAAATGCCAATTCCACCCCAGGGCTTCATTGAACCTGTCACTGCCCAGATACCTCCCAGCAATCCCAGTCACTGCCCAGATACCTCCCAGCAATCCCAGTCACTGCCCAGACACCTCCCAGCAATCCCAGTCACTGCCCAGATACCTCCCAGCAATCCCAGTCACTGCCCAGACACCTCCCAGCAATCCCAGTCACTGCCCAGACACCTCCCAGCAATCCCAGTCACTGCCCAGACACCTCCCAGCAATCCCAGTCACTGCCCAGACACCTCCCAGCAATCCCACCTCTTCCCACTGCTGCTCCTGGAGGGGCACAGAGCTGTCTCCATCTGTATTTATTCCATATTCTCTGCCCATAGCCCTCCCTCACCAATCTTTCTGGTAAGTTCCTGACATTCCCTAGGTCTCCTCCTCCCAAACAGAAGGGCAGAGCACTCAGKATGTAAGACATCCTGTTCTGCAGGATGTAGACCAGGGAAACCTTTAAAACCCCTCAGTAAGAGCAAAGCCAACTTTCCCTCTGGTTACCTTGGGATCTGGCTTTATTTTTCCATTTCTTTTACAGGATGAGCATTAAATCCATTAAAACACAATCAGAGTCYAAAGCTTTTACTGTTTCTCTTGGGACGTTTTACCAACATTATTAAACCAAAGAGGTTTTTTTAATCTAGCGCCGTAGGTGAGCCCAGAGCTCCTTCTTCCATTTATCATCCCAATATTGAAGGCTTCTTGCAGAATAGTGGGGGAAAAGGAACACAGAAACAAAACCGAGGCAGTAAGGTCCATTTTATCCTAATTCATTGATTTCTACACAAGTCATGATGAAGAGAGTAAAACCCCAAACCTCTGCAAGGCTATTTCTCCTGACTGCTGAACCAGAGCAGAGAAAAGCCAGATACCTGCTCACTTTTTCTATTTATGAAATCAGCAGCTCTGAGCAACATTTGTCAACAAATATTTTATCACCCTGAAGAAAAGATACACAGAGAAATGAGTTTGTCTGAGCTTTCSTTAAACAACTTAACTCCTTCAAGCAGGTGGTAAGAAATTTGTGCTCACATTGAAATGGTTTTCTCACAGAGAAAGCCATGAGCACTGGGATTTTTACACAAATATCCATGACATTATCTCAGTTGCCATAGAAACRAGCCTGCTCTCTCCCTGCCAAAAATCTTCTGCCCAATACAGATATACAGTTAAGTATTCAACACTGGCATATTAAATTAGTTTTAAAAATGCTATTATTTAGACACCTTCCTTGGAACCAGGCATTGTTTTATTTAGACTTCCTGCCAGATTTTAACAAAAAGCTGTGACAGAAAATGTTATTATAAA